ATCAGCTCTCGGAGGGCTTTGGGAGAGCTGAGCAGGAACTGCCAAATGTCACGCTGGGCCAACAGCATGAAAACACGTAACATCATCCTTCAGCCACAAAAATAGCAGGAAAACCTTGAGCGGAATACTTGCGGCTGTTCCTCACTGAGAACGAGCTTGAGGCGGAAGATCCAGACCGGGGCAGAACCGGCGCCTGGGCATGCGAGCGGGTACCAGCGCTGGACCGACGCGTCCGGTGTCTGCGGAGCGGTGCCTCGCACCTGGAGAAAGCAGAATTTGCTCCGGTCCTTAACAAAACGCAAATGAAACCGCAGGCCCATAGATCCTTTTAGATGCGAATATTTAGAATCAATGGTTAAAGAAAAACAACAGGCGCAGAAGGAAGCGGGGAATAGGATCCATGGGGGCTTCCGGGGACGGATCGTGACGATAACCCAGCATCTTCCTCTGCTGACTGGTTTTCTAAAGAAGAGATCTGCAGTAGGTGCTCACCATGTAGACCGCAGCCTAGCTGCCACCTGTGAACGTTAGCCACGCTGGCACAGAGAGGATGAAGAGGGATGAAGAGGAAGCAGTGAGATCCTGGCTGCTCCTGGGAGAGGGACGGGGGAAGATGATGCCCGGCTTTGAGAGGGGTTAGAAGACGTGGTCCCCTGCGCGAGCCTGGGGGCACGTGGCCCCTACATCCCTGAGTGTTCCTCTCAGGTTGGCTGTTGACAGCTATTAAGAAATCCAGTTTTCCAATCCACTCGAAACACCTGAATGCTAAATAATCCAGAGAAAAACGGCTTGGCGCTGTGGCTCGTTTGGGCTGGGGGCACTAGGTGCCCATGCGCAGCGTGGCCGAGCTGGGACGGAGCGAAGGCAAGATAACACACACCGTGTGAGCTGCTTTTCTTTTTTTTTATTTATTTTTTGCAGCCACATAAGGAAAAGCAACAGCTCGAAGCTGAGCTCAGCAAGCCTCATCTGTTCCTCTGGGCACGTGACGGCCGGGCCAGATGGCCCTTCGGACAGCAGGGCGAAGAGCCGCGGGGACCTTTCGCCGCGCACCTAGGCACCGGCTCGCAGGGGGACCTGGCGCACGTGACGCTTTTGAACTTTGCATGTATTTAGCAATTCTGGAGCCGCTCTTCTCCCCTCCTCGCTTCTGGCTTTGCCTGGGGCGGCTTCTTCTTCTTCAAAACCAAATTTTCCAGGAGTTCCTCCCCTCCACTCCCCCCGTTATT